GGCATGATAGTGGTTCTCTTTGCACTGTAAATCATTATTTTAATTTCATATTCTCAATGTAATCTTGTAAAGAAATAAAATTTATTTGTTTTGTTTGTTAGTCCGGTACTCAAAGGAAGTGAGTGTCGTGTAGGTCGTTTTTGAGCGGTCATCAACAAACTGTTGTCAGTAGGTTGTCTTGGATGCTTAGGAGTAGAACCATGCATGGTCTGACCTGAGGGAGGTGGGTGCTCTGAGAACCGTCACACCGTATTCGAGGAAGCCGGATGCACTGTGAAAGGCATGCTAGAAACAGCAGCATGAACAGAAACGGGTGACACCACAGCACCTGAAGCAGGTGACGAAGCATCACCAGCAGAAGGTACAGGGGTATGAGAAGAGTCGAGAGAATGGTCCGATAACGAAGCCGGGTCAGAATAGGGTGTGGGATCAGAATGGGGCCTGGGAGGAGGAAGGATTTCACAGGGCGAAGACTCCATAATAATAGTTGCATGTTCTGTAAAATCTTCTTTCTTGTTACATATTTTAAGAAAAAAAGGAAGGAAAGAAATAAAAAAGGGACAGTGGAGGGACAGTCATTAGGAGGCATGGAAGGGCCGAAAGCTCCTCCCCTTATCCGATAGGGCCTCGAGCCCACTGGCAGTAAAGATGCAGTGTGGAGCCCCTGCCATATCCTACCCTTCACACCAGTAAACCAGCACTCTGGGATTGCAGCCTCACATCCACTGAGCTACCTCAGCAGATAAAAGAAAGGACGGTCGGAAAAATTCCACAAAGCATACCTCCTTCGGCTGCCACCCCCCAGAGCAGACAGGTAGCTTCCGGAGATACACCAATCATCCAAAGGGAGCAGGGCATCCGCAGACAATTCAGATTCCACGGCAAACCATACCACCCCCAATGGACCTCATGGAGGGGGACAAACCTCATTACGCCACCCACCACCTAGAAACCGTAATGCCAGAGGGGAGGACCCCAGAGGCTACAAACAGGATGGGGAAAAAAGGGAGGGTTGGGAGAGGAGAGGGAAGGGAAAAAAAAGGGGGGTATGGGGAGGAAGGAATAGGGAAGGGAGGACTGGGGGGTACTTAGACTAAGGAAGGAGACCAAAGGATTTGATTCCTAAGACCAAGAGCCTCTTTGCCACGTCAAGGAGCCCCCCTTGAAGAGGCCATCATTATGTAATGTACTATTACATGAGGACATAAGAGAGGAGGAACACTGCAGCAGGCCTACTGACCCATACTAGGCAGGTCCTTCCCAAACTCAAACCCACTAACAATCCTTGGTTGCATTTTACTAGGATACACTTTGAAAGATTGAGGTTGATTTAAAGTACAATTTTCATGAGGACACAAACTATGTTGCATGTTAAAGTACACTATTTTTTCTATATGTACATTATTTGGACCTAACTTCAAGATGGAATTTTAGCTGTTACAGACAGCTCCTGGTCCTGACAACTCTGGAACAGTAGTCAACTATACAATGAATTTGTATTGTTCTTTATTTATGGCATTAGGTCCAGGGGTATAACTGGTAACAAAAGTAATTAGTCCACCTAGAATTTTTTTTTAAGTAAAGTTGGCTTCTTTGTAAATTCATTATTGAAATCCCCAATTACAGAGCATAACACAGCATAAACACAAGTACAGTAGGAACTGCCTAAAATGAATGAATCAGTAACCTATATCTGTTATAGTGATGTGATCATGTTAAAATGAGCAAAATGTAGTAATGCACTACAGCTGTCATATGTGGTGGGAATGACATGAGACATGCATGTTTTCCTCAAACAGTAAACTATTTTAATGATCATAGGTGGTGGGAATGACACGAGACATTATGCTTTTTCTCAAACACTAAACCATTTTAGTGCTGTAAAAATTCAGAAACAAACATTGCTAGAGAACACTTCTATAGGAAACTATTACATTCTGAATTTAAAATTTTCACTGACTCACCAACAACTTGAAGGACTGCCTCCTGCCAAGGAGGGTGACCCAAAGAAGAAACATTCACCATCATTCATTAAATTGCTGTTTTACCAGAAGAGTGCTGATATCACAATTTAGATTACCCTCTGATTGCAACATTTCCACCCCTTCTGCAGAGTGCAGGTATTATCATTTGCACCTCCAGTACTCTAGAACAGCTAACAGGCTTCCTTGAATCCCTTTATAAATATTACCTTGCTCACACTCCAACAGTATACATTATAAAAACCAACTGTCTCTATTCACTCCTATCCAATGAATTCACATATGTCTATTGAATATTCAAATCCCTAAGACTTAAAAGCCTCCCATATATCTCTCCCTCGAATCATTCCTGAGATAACCAATATCGCTCTTACCTTTCACCCCATCACACTATCCATCTCCTTCCTCATTAAATGTCCAAATCATCTCAGAAACCCCTCCTCAGGTCTGAATTATATCCATGGTGACAGCACTGTCTTTTAATCTCTACATTTTAAACCCTTAGCATAATATTCATGCCACATATTACTCTCAAATGTGACATCACTGCCTTCTCCTCATTGCACCCATACAAGTGTTGGTCCCCCCCCCCCCCTTTTTTTTTTGCCTCCACAGATAAGCTTTTTTCTTTCCACACATGGCTCAACAAAAGCTTATCGACCCTTATAACCACAAATAGTCGAGTACACCTCTTACCATTTTTCTCTTCATCTCTTCTATGGTTCACCTCATCTTTCATAAACTCATCTGCTGACATGTTTGCTCCCAAATATCAGAATACATCCCCTTCCTCCATACTCCTTCCCTCCAATCCTTTATTCAGTTAATCACTGCCTAGACTTTTTTGTTACCCTTCTGTGTCCACCTTTTACTTCCTATTTTTACATACCCTCCCAAATTCATCCACCTACCTTTGTAACTTATCTTCAGAATCTCCCAAAAGAACTGCAGTTCTTAACTAAAGTCTACAAAACAGATCTGAGCGCTCTATACATGCATAAAATGAACATATACAAACTATGAATGTATTTGGTAAAAAAATTATTTACAATATTTAGTTTCAATATTTAAAAACAACTGTAACTGCAGATCAGCATTAATTAGTAATTATAACCTACAGGCACGTATTTTAATTATAATGTAACACATTTTAATTAATAAAAAATAAACCTTCTTTAATAAGTATTAAACAAAACATGATACTAGACAATACATCAACTGTGATTCATGTACAATATACTGACAAATGGAAAATTGCTATTTATTTTAAAGCATTTCATTGTAAATTTGTATGCTATTTTTTTTATAATTCCTTAAGGTAAGGGCATATTTTGGGGCAAACCCTATGAAAAATATACAACTTATGGCCAAAAATATTTTTGTGTTTACTAATACAACCTCTCCTCATTTAGTGATGCCTACTGTATAAACATTTAAAAATATACCAGAAATGTTATAAACGGCACAAAGGTAACATTAAAACAATATCAAAGATGGTTGACACAAACTCACTACCATTATAGCATGCTCCTCACTTAGCGACGAATTCATTTAACGACGTGGTCTTAGGAATGGAACTCTGTCGTTAAGTGAGGAGAGGCCAGCCTCTCCTCACTTAGCGACATACTCATTTACCGACGACTCAGACATACGAAAGGGCTCTCTGATCATTATGCATACCTAAATAATGTACATGTATATTAGAACTGATTTCCTCTAGTCTGTATTACAATACACAGTAAATTACTGTATAAATATTTAAAAATATACCAGAAATGTTATAAATGGTGCAAAGGTGACATTAACACAATATCAAAGATAACTGACACAAACCCACTACCATTACAGAATGCTCCTCACTTAGCGATGAATTCATTTGCCGACGTGGTCTTAGGAGCGGAACTCAGTCGTTAAGTGAGGAGAGGCTGTACTACATCATGAGCTCAGCTCACCCAGATAAGCTATGAGTGGTAAATTTGGGCCTAGATATGAGAGAATGCATCTATGTAGTAAGTGTGCACCATATAAAACAAATCCCACAGCACACAGTGCATAATGAGAAAAAACTGCGACCGTGTTTTTGGATTAAAACAGCGACTTTGCAGTGTATTTTTGTATGGTTTCCACAATTGTATTTGCAGTTTTTTGGTCTCAACTGATAGAATGGAAGATATAATGCAGAAACAGAGATGATTCTGATTGGTTTTAGTACTCAAAATAGCTTGAAATTGAGGTCCAAGTAGCAGAAATGTTCAATTTTTGCTGATGGTCAAGAGTAAACAAATCACATCACATGTCCAGTACACATCAGCTGGTGGGTCTAATATGCATTCATGAATGCACTGATATTGTTTATACAATTATTACAATATTGCATAACAGCAAATCTTTATTCTTTGGTGTGAATAAAAATTCTTAATGTGAATAAAAAATCAAAATGGAATTCATCTGTAAAGCCTGGAAATGTAGCTAATAAACAGAGGAAACATTATTTTAGTGCCAGGAATGCCTGCATTATTTATTCTGGACCCCATTTTGAACTTTGTGTGAAACTGGCCAAATTACCAATTTCTGGTCACTATTGGGTAGTTGAAATAGTTGATTGAGTGATTTCTTGTGCCCAACAGATAAAATGGAACACATACTAGTGAAATAGTTAAGAATTTGTTCTAATGGAATTGGCTGAAAGAGGGCTCAAAGTGGCAAAATTGCCGATGCATAAATATTGCTGACAGCAAAATTTGTGAGAGAGTAATTTCATAAATTTTTGACCAAATTCCATACTTTTTGTTTTATTACCTTCAGAAGAAGATTGTCTATCATTTCATAAGAAAAAATAATTTTTTTTAAGAAAATTCTTGGACCCTGTGGGAAATATTCAGATTGGGGGTCTGGACACTCAAAGGGTTAAAAAGAACACTGGCATTATTCTCTGTAAGTTATACAGAAAAGGGGGTTACTTTATTATAAAATTCTGGTGGATCTGTGATTAACAGTTTATACAATAAAACAAAGTGAAAGAACAATAAATTCATTTGACAGCATCAACCTTATAAAATATTTGATTACAGAGCTGAGTACCAGTACAATATTTAACTCCTTCACAGTCTGAAACTCCAAAATTACCTGTTTAGTGTTGGCATTAAAAAAAATCATCTGAAATGGTAGAGAATCGTTTTCTGAAGGTACTGACACGAACAATACAAAATATATGTATTAATAAAAAATTTATGGAATTACACTGGTGTAAAGTTGGTGGTCTGGATGCACTTTACACATTGGCAATTTTGCCCAATTTGAGTCTTATTTTAAGCCAATTCCACGAGGCACAAAACACTTTTTGACATCCCTCATGTCCGTCTCACACTATGCAAAAATGCAATGCACATAAAGGGCCCAAAGATCTGGAACTCTTTGCCTGAAACAGCAAGAGGTATCCTACCCACAAACCAATTTAGGACTATACTCAAAAATCATCTCATCTCTCAATAACAACCATACCCACACTATGCTAAACTCTAACCAAATTTAAAGCAACTCTCCCAAATATTTTATTACTCTTTAATTATTAAGTCATTATTACAAATTTTAAAATGTATGTTTGTATCATTAATTGTACTACCTCATATTAATAAAAGAGTAAAATACTGAATATTGTATTCTACCACTCTTCACCTCTCTAGACTTATGTAGTCTATAAGTATTAGGTTAAGTCTGCTCAAAATGAATCGGCATGATAGTGACCTTCTTTGTACCAATCATATTATGAAATGTAAACACACACTGTAACCTTACCAAAGAAATAATATTTTATATATTTTTATATTTTATTTAATTTAATCAGAAAAAAAAATGATTGGGGGGCAGGTGGAATGCAGGGTGAGGTCTTACTTTCAACAAAATTTCAAGCTGCTTCCAATCCTGAAACCAATCAAAATCATCTCAATTTCAGCAATATGTCTTTCATTCTATCAAGTGATACCAAGAAACGGCCAATAAAACCATGCTAGAGAACAACTTGAGGTCTCGACTTTAAATCCAACCCAAGGCCAGGTTTACTTTTCTGATCATGCACTGCATGGGGCAGGATTTTTTTTATAGTGTGTACACTCACTTCATTGCATAGACCCATTCTCTCAAGTCTAGGGCAAAATTTACTACTCACAGTTTATCCAAGGAAGCTGTGCTCAAAATGTAGATCTACGTAAGCAACCCTGGCATCAATAATGTATATGTACAAGACAGTGAAAAGGGTGAAGTTAAGACTGTGTATCTTCATGTGAAGTTGATGCTTGATTGCCTGATGATGATGGTCTATGGAGTACTGCAAGTGGTTGTAATTTAAACCTTTCATAGTCAAGAGGCACCTGAGGTTGGACTCTCATGGGTCCATCAAGTGGAAGGTCCCAAGGGTTTGGAGTTTTAGGTGGTTTGAGGAGTTCCTTGCGTACGCTGTCTCGTGTACGTGACCCTCGTGGTTTGTAATTCCTTTTGTCTCTCTCACTTGTGCGAGGTGGCAAGGAGCCATTACGACGGCCTTCCCATATCTGAAAGTAATCCAAGATTAGCCTTAGTATTCTTTCCTGAGCTTATACACTTTTGAATGTGATCAGGGGTATGTAAGAGTTGCAAATAACTTCCACAAAACACTGAAAATAATAGAGAAACCCTATATTTGGGTATATTCATTGTCTTAAATTCAACTTAGCTATTTTTCTATTACAGAATACTTCCCTCCCCCCTCCCTCCTTTCTGGTCAAGTGCCTCTCCATCCATTGAAAATGATTTAAGGCATTCCAACACTGAAAGTGTGAAGTTAATCAGAAGACACATTTTCCAGGAACTGCGCAGAAATGACTAAATTCCAAATACAGTGGACTCATAATTTGTGCCAGTTAGGTTCCTGAAATCTATGCTACTGATAAAGCTGCAACTTAAGGGAAAAGGAGGGATGACTGTGGTATCTATAGTTCTTGAGCTGAGGTTGATGCAGAGTTGTTACTTACAGGAGTCCTCAGGTTATTTGCCATGTATTCTGCAGTACTTTATATAGACTGTACAGTGGAACCCTGGTTTTCATCCTTAATCTGTTCCAGAAGGTCGGTCGAAATCCGAAATGCAAGAAAACCGAAGTAATATTTCCCATAAGAAATTATGTAAATCCAATTAATCCATTCCAGACACCCAAAAATATTAACAAAAAAAATACATTTTATAGAGAACAACTATAGTTTTACATACAGAAAACAAAGAGAAATATAAATGACTAATTTTAATAGATAAATGAACATTTAAATCACCTTTACCTTTACTGAAGAGACTTATTGGAGTATGGAAGACGGCAAGGAGGGGAGAGGGAGGAGAGGTTATTGTTTGGAAGGGGAATCCCCCTCCATAAGAACCTCAGGTATCAAAGCCCTATCTGGGGTTACTTCCCTTCTTTGTCTTTTACTGGCACTAGGACCAGCTTGAGAGTCACTAGACCATGCAGACATGGTTTGCAACAGCTTTTTTAGGGTGATATTTCTCCACCAATTCTTCCACATCCTAGCTACACAATATTTAATGCAGCCCAGAGCCATATTATTACCATCGACATACCATGTTCTCCGAGTTGAATCGTTTCTAACAACTACCTTAAGATGCCATCATAAACAAAGGGAGAAGTAATGAATAATTCATGCCGAGTTGGAGTGTGAGCAAAGTAACATTATGAAGGGATTCAGGAAACGGCAGGCCGGATTAGTCCTGGAGATGGAAGACAGTGCGCACTTGAGAGGTGTTTAATGTTGCGTTAAAACTGTGTGTAAAGCACCTCTGGCAAGACAGTGATGAGTGATATGGTGAAATTTTTCTTTTCGGCACTTTGTGGAATCTCCGGTGTATAAAATATATAAAAAAAAGGACAAAAGCTATGATAATGAGGAATGAGATTCATATATGTTTTCTCTATGCTGGACAGAATGAGCCCTGTGCTAGCACACCTCCATAGCATACAAACACTGAATGTTTATATGCTATGTAATATATTTCTTATATAATTTTGAAGAAAATATCATAGATGGATTAATAAAAATGTCTATATTAACCTAAAATAAGACATTTAATGTGCCCAAGAGTGATTATTATTACATATTAGTATTATTACTATGGCATTAAGACTAGAGAGAGACTCTTAGTGAATGAGTAACAAAGGCATGTTTATATGCTATGTAATGTGTTTCTTATATAATTTTGAAGAAAATATCATAGATGGATTAATGAAAATGTCTAGATTAACCTAAAATAAGATATTTAATGTACCCAAGAGTGATTATTATGTATTAGTATCACGAATGTATGAGCGGCCCAGGTAGACGGTAGGTATGAAACAGCAGAGGTATGAAACCCGGGGTAAAATTTCGTCCCAAAAAATGGCCGAAATCTGAAATGTACAATATCCACACCGGATGAAATCTGGAGTTCCACTGTATTTATTTCTGAATGGGGAAACTTAATCCCATGCAACATTTGCATTGGTTATTGCAACTGCAAAGTTTAATTTCTGCCAGAATTTTATAACTCCAGTGTCAAGTGTCATTCATTGCTGCAAAGAATCTTTGCACCATCCTGCATGTATAGTGCCATTTAAATGTTTTAACCACTCCTTGATTTAGTGGCTGTATCAAATATGTTAAATTTGGTGGTTAAAACACCACCTTGACTGATTACAGAATTTTCACGAGTGAATAAAACCTTGAATAAAAGTTTTTTCTGGCCAGGTACAACTTGACTGAAGAAATTAAATATAGCAGATAATCCTTTATCTGAAATTCCAAAATCTGAAAACCTCCAAAATCCAAAAGTTTTTCAAGTGTTGACACAACATACCACAAATGGATCATTCAGTTTACTGTCAGCAGCAATTACTCACTGATTACCACATGTTGTGTGCTCTGTTGTGTAAAGATATTGTTGAAAATGTTGAAGAGGCCTATGGGTAATAGTGAAAAGAAAAAGAGCATTAATGTTTATCTATATCACAGAAAGTCAAGTTGTTCAAAAAACTTGACAGTTGGTGTAAGTATGAAGGATCTGACTGAGGAGTTTGGTGTTGGAACAACCACTATCTACCACCTAAAAAAACAGAAAGACAATTATTGAAGTTCTATGCTGAAAGTGATGAACAGAAGTTTATGAAAAACAGAAAAATAGTGCACAGAGGGAAAAATGAGGATCTCGATGATGTATTGATAGAGTGGATTAGTCAGCATAGTGTGAGCATGTGCCTCTTAACAGAATGCTGATCATGAAACAAGCAAAATCTATCATGATGAACTGAATATTTAATGTAACTGAACATTCAGTAGACTCATTACAAAAATTTAAGAGGTACAGCATTAAATATTTAAAGAATAGTGGTGATAAAGCATCTGCTGATCACGAAGCCTAAAATGAGCTAAATGCACTAAATTTACGTTGAACAGCTCTAAGAAATGTGCCAGTATACAGGCGATTATTCTGGAATCTGCTAAATTCCAATCCTGAGCATAACAAGGTTTTTGCATCCAGAATCATCAGCAAAATGTTCTTTGCAGAATTAACTTAACACTTTCACTGTTGACAGCCCTGATTACAAACCTGCTCTCGGTGTAAAAAAAAAAAAAAAAAAAAAAAAAAAAAAAAAAAAAAAAAAAAAAAAAAAAAAAAAAAAAAAAAAAAAAATCTTATCAAAATATGAAGAATATTTTTCTGAGTGTTAAAAAAAAAATGTGATCAGTATTTACTGAGATATAAAGGCATGAAGTTGACAGAAAGTGAACCGCTTACAGCAATATCAGCGACTGCTGCTCACTTGGCAATACTACATGTATTACTTTTACTTTTATTCTATTTTTTTCTTTTATTTTTAATATTTTATTTTTTCAAGTAACTTTTGTGGCCTGTGAGACCAATATAATGTGTAATGTATATATATCCACTCATTATATGTAACACAATAACCACACAAATATTATCATTACACTGTTTACAAAACCTGTTTACACAAACTAACAATAAAAAAGTTGTTTATTACTATTCTTCTGTAATATATATACATGTACACATACAGGGTCATTGGACACATTCCTAGAACTGCTACAACTTGTGGAAGGTTGTTGTTGTGTGTGGGTGGCCTTTGTTGTGAGAGCGGCATGGCTGGTGTCACGTGATACATTACACAACCACCATCACACATTACCCACACTGTCCTCAACAATCATGCTGTCTTCCCCACCACCCATGTGACACATTACACAACCACAATCACCCATTATCCACAATGTCTTCCTCAACAACCATGCTGTCTTGCCCACCACCCACATGGAAATAAGTCACTTTGTCTGACATTTTTCGGGATATCCTACGTTGATGGTTGTCTGGGTTTTCAGCACTACTTCTGGTATCCTGGAATTGCTTTTGGTCACAAACTCCTCAAAACCATGAAATTCATCTTCACTGACACTTCCATCTGTGTTAGAACTATCATTTGGAAAGAGAACAGTCCCAATTTGCCGGAGAGTGAGATATTTCTTACTGTGAGGAATGATAAACAAGGACTACTGAAATGGCATTCCCACAATGCAATGCAGGTGCCCCGATTTTTTTTATAACGCACACACTGACCAAGCAGACCCATTCTCTCATATGTAGGTCTACCAGCTTTCTCCCACTAGATCTAAGCCACTAGAATTTTGGTGTATTAATACGTCACCAACATTGACTTGTAAGCCGTACCTATATGGCACTTGTAATGAACAATGTTTAGCAATGAACAAAGGTACATTTCCCTCTGTTCTTACATCACTCAGTAAGCTTATCTAGGTACAGGTACACACAAATACTTTGACTGTTTTCTTCTTTTTCTTTTTAGTAGGCTATACAGGAAAAGGGGTTACTAGCCCACTGTTCCTCACATTTTAGTCGAATTTTACAACACTCATGGCTTACGGAGGAAAGATTCTTATTCCACTTCCCCATGGATATAAAAGGAAAAGCTATAAGAACAAGAACTATTAAGATAAATCAAAGAAAACTCAGAGGAGTGTGTATATATATAAACGTGTACATATATGTGCAGTGTGACCTAGTGTAAGTAGAAGTAACAAGATGTACCTGAAATCTTGCATGTTTATGAGACAAAAAAAGACACTTGCAATCCTACCATCATGTAAAAAAATAACAGGCTCTCATTTTACACTCACTTGGCAGGACGTTAGTACCTCCCTGGGTGGTTGCTGTCTACCATAGATAAGAGTAAGGTGATGAGGGTATCAAATGATTTAGATAAAGAAAAACTGGATATCACATTGGAGAGAAAAAGTATGGAAGAAGTGAATGTCTTCACATATTTGGGAGTTGATGTGTCAGTGGATGGGTTTATGAAGGATGAGGTTAATCATAGAACTGACGAGGGAAAAAAGGTGAGTGGTGCGTTGAGGTATATGTGGAGACAAAAAATGTTATCAATGGAGGCAACGAAAGGAATGTATGAAAGTATAATAGTACCAACACTCTTATATGGGTG